AACTGCCACATACTAGGTCCTACGGTTCCTTTCTCAGCACTGTATGAGCTTAGAATCGTTCATTTTTAAACATGAGTGTCCACAGGTATTTGGTTCAATTCTTTGTCTTTGAGGCAGTAAGCTCTTGTTAACCCTGTTTTGTTGGTAAGCCAGCTGAGGTTAACCAAGATAAAAATTTCCCCCAAATATTCAAATAAGTGTTGGGGAAAAAGGAAGTGAAGGCTCCCTTGTTTTTAAATACTTTAAGCAATGAATCCTGTTCTCAAAGAAAATTGTATGTGAAAACCCAATTTTTAAACCCATTAAAGCAACTGGCATGCCATTATTTCAGAAGATCTAATGTGCTATGTTCATTTTACTATCAATAGATGTAAAAAAAAATCTTGAGGCAGTTTTGATGAGATAAACACGTGGATCTGCAGGTCGGGGATGATAATTATTTCATACCAGCATCAGCACTCCATTTACTTTTGGTTTTTGTTTCTTGTTCGGGTTTCGCAGTCTCAACTTAAGCCTCCACTCACGCAGGCACATAGATGTAAACGTTATGGTAAGAGAGGGCGTGTCTTACAAAGCACCACGCAGCCTCTCGCTAAACTGACTAAGAGTCTCTGAAGATCTTTGGATCTTTGCTACCCTAATATGAATCACTAACAATATCTAGCGACTGCCCATATTCCTTATTATAAATACCAGTGTCAAAGGATCCAAAATTTACAAGCACTAAAATAAAAAAGGTGATGCTCTGGTGTTTCATGAAACGTTTTATTGGACCACCTGCACCACACTGTGTTGAAAGTGTGCTCCAAGCCCGGAGAGTCCTGTCTAGTATTTAACTAAATGCAGTATATGTGTGCTCATTTGTGCCGTTTTATGCAAGCAGATGTGTACAGGGCTGCATTCCAAGAAGGAGGAATTCCAAGTTAAAAAAAAAACACTTTCTAAATAATGATATAATACCATGAAGTTTAGCTGTACGCCCAGAAACAGGGAAGGAAGCTCTAAGTTCTGAGCTCTGCACAAAAAGATATCCCATTAGAGGGTCTCTGAGATTTTAAAATTTAGCTGAGACGTTTCAGTGTGCCTGTTCTTATAGATTTTAAAAAGAATAGTCTCTATGTTATGGATATTTGAGTTGACTATTGTAAAACTTCTAAAACACCCCAGAGAATTCTCTCCTACTCCTCCCTATGTATTCTGGCTCTTGCCTGTTGCCCCGTCTACACCTTCTACAATAATTGTCCCCTCTCTGTGTTTCCAGCAGAATAAGCCCTTGCCCACTGGAAGGCCTTTGTTGCTTTTTCTACATGCCTTCACATCTATGATTGCTTTCTTTTTAATCAAGGATCTCCACTCAAGTATCACTTCTTCAGTGAGAGAAGCCGTCCCACTAAGGGATCATTCCTTCCAAAGTAGCCCTCTTTCCTTCCGCCACTTGCCAACGCATAACCCTCTTCTATCCTAAGACACATCACACACTTTTACTTTTTACTTGCTTTTTTCCCTGCCTTCCTAGACTAGAAAGAACACTCTGCTAGGACGGGAGCTGTGTCTGGTTGACTATGTACCTTGATTGATCTGGACAGTCCCGGTGTTTGCCTGTTGTTCTGATTTTTATTATTGTCCCCCTTTACTCTCTAAAATAGGTCATTTTGGACAATAAATGATATGGTCACTTTAGCCAGATCTGTCTTCTTTCAAGTCTCATCCCCTAATCCTAATATGGTACATGATACATGACAAAAACTTGGTGAGTTTTTGCTGATATTAATGTGTCCTGGATTGGAAATCATGAGTCCTAAGTTCCAGCCCCAGGTCCAATTAGGTTGGAAGCCTATCACCCCTAAATGATTGGAAAGCAGGTGTAAGTTTCAGCAGGCAACACCCTCATATCAGACAGATAACAGAGTACTTTCAGGCAAAATGGTTCTGTTTCTAGAGATTTACATACAAGTTCAATGTTAATTAATGGTCCAAAGCATACATTGACACAGGGGCAGTTTAACTTAAAATAAGGAAGAATTACCAGAATTGGGGGAACCTCATGAGGCAGTGAGTACTTGGTACTGGAAATGCTCAGTGAAATCCCCAGGAAGTGTATTCCTATTAAAAAAAATGCTGGGTTGTGTATTCCAATCCTGGCCTGTCAGTTGATAGTGGTGACACTTAGTCTGAGATCAAGAGTTCTCTTGTATAAAACACAGAATATGATTTTGATTCTTCCTATCAGATCCTCACATTTTCTCTGTCTTTTTTCAGTTTGCTGTTAATTAAGCAAGGGTTGGTAAATTATTTCATTGTAAAGTGTAAGTGACAAAACCATTTGTTGGCATATGAAGAAAAAGGCAGCCAAGTGTAATATAATTTGTCCCAGGTGGTTGCCAGGATTTCCAGTCCAGGGACTGAGGGGTTGGGTGAATTGCCTAAGAAGCTGAGGTAAACCATTCAAGAGCCCCTGAGACAGAGACAAGGCTGCTCCTGCCTCTGATGCCTCAACTTCAGACTTTGTTAAATGGGTGTAATAAGAGTTGTTTTGCATCCATTCCAAGATCAAAAGAAGATTCCAGGGAAGAATGTTGCTTGCGGATGAGGAAACACTATATAAATATGAGAGTCTTGAGATGCTGCACAAAATCCAGGTGGGGGCTCTTACACGTCCAGGCGGGAGCCCTGTGAGAAGCATTCAGGGGTGAATGAATTTCCCTCCCTGCAGTGTGACAAAGTTGAAAGTAGAATTATTCATGTGGACATAAGTGCCTTGAAAGGTGAGAGTGTAAGAATGAGCATACGTGTCCCTGATGGGAATCAAGGCAGGGCGGGAAGGGAAGTGATACTTCTTAGCACTCACTTTGTGCCAGGTTGCCTTACATAGGTGATCTCATCCATCCTAAGCTTCATACAAAGCCAGTGAGAGAGGTGTTTTTACTCTTATACTACAAGTGAAGAAACTAAGGCTCAGAGAGCTTAAGTAAGTTGCCCTAGATACTGTAGGTCATGGGCAGCCTGCTGGAGTCCTAGGAAGCAGAGAGAGAATTAGCAATGCTTATCGACAGATGACTAGATAGAGAAGTTGTGGTATATTTATACAATGGAATACTACTCAGCCATAAAAAATAATAAAATGATGCCATTTGCAGCAACATGGATGGACCTGGAAAATGTCATTCTAAGTGAAGTAAGCCAGAAAGAGAAAGAAAAATACCATATGATATCACTTATATGTGGAATCTAAAAAAAAAAAAAAAGACAAACGAACTTATTTACAAAACAGAAACAGACTCACAGACATAGAAAACAAACTTACGGTTACCAAGGATGGGGGAAAGTGGTGGGAAGGGATTAAACGGAGAGTTTGAGATTTGCAGATACTAACTAATATACATAAAAGAGATAAACAACAAGTTTATACTGTATAGCACAGGGAACTATATTCAGTATCTTGTAGTAACTTATGGCAAAAAAGAATATGAAAACGAATATACGTATGTTCTTATATGACTAAAGTATTGTGCTATACACCAGAAATTAACACAACGTTATAAACTGACTATACTTCAATTTAAGAAAAAAGAAATAGGAAGTGTGTGAATAAGGTGCCACAAGACTAAGCTATGAATGTTGATCTGCCCCTCTTCCAACTTAGTGATGTAAATAACAGTAAGCTCTCCCTTTTCTTACTCCTCTGACGCCATGGCTTTCTCATCCCCACTTCTTGCGGGACCACTCAACTTCAGTTTCACTTGCATGGAGAACAGGAGAAGCGCAAGGAATTGTGTCCATTCATCTGTATCCTCATCCTTTGCCATCCACAAAGTCTGTTTACTTGTCTAGTAATGGAAGTAACATTAAACTTAGTCCCATTCATCATCCTCAGAAATCTCTGGACCCAACCCAGCCCTCTGTGGTTTTGCTTAGGCACAAGGGTTCACAGGCAGAACCAGAATTTTAACTCACTTCTCTCTAACTCCCCAACCGTGCTCTACATGTTCCATCATTCAGCCCCCTCGGCTGTATCAGTTACGTGCAAAAGGATGGGTTCCACTTTGTAGAAGATCCTTTTATGAAATCACAAAAGTATAGTTATGGGAAATTCCAATTCTTTAAAATTCATTCAAAAACATAAAAATTTAGGTCACGTTAATAGATAGAGTATTTGCAGATCTGGTTCCACAGAAGAACTGAGTCTAAATTGAATACAAGTGATTACTGGACTTTAAATATTGTCTTTTTTTTTTTTGGCAAAGGGGATGGAATTGATGACTACCTTGTTCTCTTATCATCAAGGTCTATTATTTTTTCATGATGACCTCAGAGTAGCCATGGCATTTATAATCTTATGATCTTACCGGCTCTCTGCCCAGAAACACAGTGGAATGAATCTTTCCCTAAAATAAATAATTCTGAGGACTTTCAAGCACCTCACTGCCTCTAAAACAATTTAAACTCCTTATTGTTATTAATAAAGATGTCTTTTTTGTATATCTACGTTTCATTTATTCTTTGCCACCAAAGGGCCTTGCAAACGGTTTCTTCCCATGGCATCTCCAAGGGCAGAAAAAAAAAAGGGGGGGGTTTCAAAGTGCTTCTGGAATTATTACTGTGTTGGAGTGGGAAGGGTATGTATTCGAGGATGCAGCAGACCTAGAGTTAATGCTCAAACTTGAAGTTCCTGGTGTGTGCCCTTGGGCATATTTCTTAAACTTTCAGGACTTCAGTAGCTTCATCTATAAAATGCATATCATTCTACCCACCTCTCTGAGTGAAGGATGCAGTAGCACACTGCCTGGCTTTTGTGGGTGTTTAGTAAGCCTTATCTCCATCCCCTTATATCTTTATAGGCTTCTAAGTGATCTGTGGCAGATTCTCCTGCATTGGTGGTCTTCACCGTGACTAAGTCAAATATGTATTTGTTATTTAGTCAAATAAAATGTATTTAAAACTTATTTTCTAAAATACAATTTTATTTTTATTGTATGATAATACGTCTTCTTTTTTTTAAGCATATTCAAACTACACAAGCAAGTATGTGGTGAAAAGTGACTCCCTCTTCATCTACCCTGAATACTCATGCACCACTTCTTAAAAGTAACCACAGGTAACAGTTTCACATAGAACGTTCGAGAAAACTGCAGCGTATATATGTGTATAAATGTAGCTGTGCTATTCTTTTAAAATCACTTACTATGGCTTTTCTCCATTTTTTTTCACTTAATTTATCTGAGTTATTTACTAGATTAGTATAAATTTACTTCATTCCCTTTAATAGGCTCATAATATCTTATATAATCAATTCTTTACTGAGTAACATTTTTTACATAAATTAGCAATAATATTTAATATTTTTGAGATAAGTGGTTTTGAGGTTTTAGAAACAAATTTTGGGTCAAATTCTGGATTTGCTTCCAGCATAGTACACTTGGAATTTCTAAGTCTCCATGTTCTCATCTGTTTAACCAGGACAAGACTAACTGCCTCCAAAAATCTTAAGGAGCACACGAGGTAATACTGAAGCGGACCTAGCCTGTCACCAACTTACAGTAACTTTCCAATACATGCTGATGGTAATAGCAACAGCCTGATAACTTCTGACTTAAGGGTGTTCCTTATGAGCTGATGACTTTGAGAAACAACAGGTAGCAGGACTGTGCAGGATATTGTGGTTGTCACTGTTGATGCTTTCTGGCAGCCAATAAGGTGAAGGCTGGGTAAGCCAGCCACAGGTCTTGACCACTCTAAGGAAATCTGCAGACAAAAACAGTTTGAGGTCCCATATCACGCTGTATTTTTCACTGCATGCAATTACCTCACTCCCCTGCTAGCTGGGAACTCCTAAGGATGAAAAAGGGACATAGCACCTTATAGAGAACAAGAAATACTGTAGAAGAGTCACGGTCTTCCCTGTGGTGGTAGAGGAAGAAGAAATCTTAGGAGGAGGAGATAGATATTTACTGAAAACATACTCTGTGTTGAGGGCTCTACCTGAATTACCTGATTCAAGATCCACACTTTGAGGTGAAGAGTTTAATTTTCAGCACAATACCTAAGTTTGGGGTGTCTGTTTCCTCGTGTGGAAAATGAGGAGAATCCAGTGCTGTCTCAGAGCTTGGCTGTAAGGTTTTAATGAGATACTACATGCAAAGGGTTTAGAACAGGGCACAGTGCATGGTGAGCACTCAAAGAGCAAATTGAGGCTTAGCAGGATTGAGAGGGACCTGCAAGGGAACCTGTGGTGTAGACAGAGCAGTCGGATTTCAGAATCTCCGCTCTTCACCACTGAGACGTATCTCTTCTCTGTGCTTGTCATGAATGTGGACTGAATGAATCACTGGCAAGTTCTGCCTTTATAGAGAAAGGAAATGAGATTTAGGAAAGCAGAGTAATTCAACCGTATCTCATATTAGGACATATCGGTCTCCTCCCAAGTTTAATATTTTGGGGTACTTTCCACTACTATAAACAATACAGTTCTTAGGTTCTGGCTTCAATGTACACTTGTACTTTGCAGGTCTACTCAGGGGATTGGGAGGCTGGAGAGTGTAGGAATCAGGAGCCAAAGTTCCAGGGTTCACCCTGTGTTACTGTGGACCAGTCAATTATGCTGTCTCTGCCTCGGTTTCCTCATGTATAAAATTTACGATTCATTATTTGTAATCTCTTCATTCCCCACCAGGTTTACTCAGTTTTGTTTCTTACCTCCTATCCAGTGAGAGCTAAAAAGCTGTAAGCCCCTCTTCTCCCATTGCTCATTTGCTAGCTGTCTTCAGTAGTCAATGAGATGATTTGAGTGTTGAGATCAGCCTGAACAAAGATGTATCAGGAGTTAGCTGGAACTCCTTCTTCACTGGCCTGGAAATGAAACTGTTTCTTGAGTGTGTGATCCCTTGACTCAGAACCTGAGAAAGGGGCCAAGCCCTCTGGTAATGAGTAGTCTCTAAGCAGCCTGTTCCAGTGACATCAACCCCATTTGTTGTTTGGTACTATGATGCAGCCATTTTTAAATGGCTCACACCTGTTGTTACTATATGTGTGGCTAAGGCTCGGATACTTTGACATCAAAACAAGAATGGTTGCTGGGAGACAGAACAAAGATGTAGAATTCACGGACACTTGTGTCAGCACTGCAGAACACTCAGCAGCATGTCAGCTCAAACAGCCTATAGGCACACTGGGGAGACAATCAAAAGAACAGAGGCATCAAAATGCATCTAAATAGAGAATCTGAGACTCCAGCAGCCAAAGGAGACTGAAGAAGTGTTCAGCCACTTCAAGTGCCGTGTGCAGTGCTTGGATCACTTTACTGTATTCTAGCCCAAGTGTGCCAAGCTCCTGTGGACAGAGCCCCCGCCCTGGGATGGAAACCTCACTTCCTCCTGAGATGCTTCTAAAGTCTAGACAATTCTATTAACCAGAACATGTGTGTTCTAATGAACTGAAGTCATTATGACCTTCCTATAATAATTTCAGTTGCATCCCCATTGACGCAGGGCCCAAATCCAATCATTCTTCCACCTGGCAGCTCCTAATTCTTTTCAACTGCCGTCTTTACCCTAAACATCCCCCACCCCTCCCCCCCCGATTTAAACATATCCTTCTATCATTTCTCATAGGATGTGGTTTCAAATCCTGTCCTAGTTAGGACAGAGACCATAGTTGATTAGGAGGATTAAATTCTATATACTTGCTCATTAATTCAGCCAGTCATTAACATAAATATCTTATGTGCCTACTAAAAGGAAGACATTCTGAAGGCTATGGAGATAAATCATGTCTGATCTCTTTCTGCAAGTTGTCTCAACTCTGCCAGCTTTTACTCACTGTGTGACTTTGCGTGAGTTGTTTAACCTTTCTGAATCTCAGTTTTCTCATCTCTAAAATGTGAATCGATTGAGCAACCACATAGGGTTGATGTAAGAATCCAACACAGTAATGTGCGTGACACTCTTAGCAAACTGCGATGCACCGTAAGAATATTAGTTGTCCTGATTAGAAGAGAGAGCAAGACTGAAAACTAACCATCCAGGTTAGATATAAAAGGATTAAATATCACCAAAGAATGACTGACAGTGCCTAAGATTGAAGGACTGAATGTTAAGTGTGCACTAAATACCAAGAAAAGAAGAACTTTCTAAGCCAAGTCCAAATTAAGAATCTGTTAGGTGAACTTCCAAGCAGGCAGAATTAACCCACAACAGAAGGAGTAGCGATGACTCTAAGGGAGAAAGGCAGAAACTTATTGTACAAGAATCCAAGTGGAGCAATGGTTGCATTCCAAATTCTTTCCATGAGGCGAATGAAAGAAAAATACTTTGAAAGTTGGCTTGCAAATAAATGCACAGGTGTGTGCCCATCTCTGTCTATATGCACCTGCATATGTGCCTTTTTGGTGGTGTTCATGCTACAGCTCCCCTTCCTACAGCATGTACAATATAACAGTCAGTGGCACAGTAAGAGCTCCACGGACTGTTTTGGGCCATTGGTGGTCACCTCATTGGAATGCCCCTGGCTTTAATGTAAAATCTTAGCCAGGGAGCTTCTGATTTAATTTATGTCCATGGCAGGAGCCAGAGCTTTCTCCAGGGAGACAGGGTTAAAGCAGATGATTAGATCATATGCTTCCTAAAATGGGACACTTTTGAGAGCACAAAAATGATTTTTATAATTGTTCCAGGACAATGGGTGGATACTGAGACTGTTCCAAACAAACTGGGTTGTCTGGTTTAAGGAATGAGATTTAGGGTCCATGTAGACCAGGTTTCTCTTTCATCTCTGCCCCCAATGAGCTGTGTCATCTTTGGCAAATCACAGAATTCACAATACAGAACAATTATTTACAGCAATTACTTACACAGAACAATAAGATTCTTTCCTCATTTGCAAAATAGAGCCAGTAATACCCATATAATGTTGTGTAAAAAGAACTGAATGGCATACTGTGAGCAGAAGTGCTTAACTCAGTCATGACAACTTATGAGCTTGTGAAATATGTTGGCATTCTTCCTTTCCCCTTTCCCCCCTCTCTCCCCTCTCTTCCTTTCTTCCTGCCATCCTGCCCTCCTCAAGTTTTCAAGTAGCAAAGCGAAGGACGAGAGTGGGTAGACCCACCCAAGCTGAATTCATGGGGCCATCATTATGATGATTATGATCTACAGGATCTGGTGTAGACTGAGGGCAAGAAAGAAGGGAGATTTTGTGGGGAGGAGGTCAGCTATAGGTCAGGACACTTTATGTATTGGAATGTGGATATTTGTACACCATAGATAACAAAAAAGGAGAAGGAACGTACATAGAATGTTGGGGTTCATTCAATTACTCACCCATTCATTCAAAACTAGAGTGTCTATGGACATGGTTCTAGGCATGGCAAATATGGCAGTAGGAGACTAAGACAGACAGAGATTCTGCACTGATGGAATTAGTCATCTAGACTTTCAAGACCCCTGAGAAACCCTAAAGTGTCCTGTGAATCTAAACAAGGAAGAAACAGTGGATAGTTTAGCAAAGGTGCTTAATCTTCTTGCTGACATCTTTGCATTTACTGACAAAATGGTAGATTCCTATGTATACCTGGAACTAATATAATATTGTAAGTCAATTATACTTAAAAAAAATCACAGATACATACATGGTAGCATTTCACTCTGTTCTCTGGGATGGGGATTCCATAACAAAAAGTTGTTGTTAAGTATCATCAGCTAAAGTCACAACCTCTAATCCAGGAGTTAGCAAAATACTGTGTTTTTATAATAAAGGAACACATCCATGCCAATTTGTGTATGTATGGTCTGTGGCTGCTTTTGTGCAGCAGAATTGAATAGTGGGGACAGAGATCTTCAGACACACAAGCTTGCAATATTCACTATCTGGCTCTGTAAGAGAAAGTTTCCTGACCCCTGCTCAATGACATTTTGGAAAGTTTCAAAAAAATTTGTATACTAAAAGCTCTGAAAAGTTCCGTACTCAAGAAATCTTTAAATGTTGTTTAACCGAGAACTCCTGGGCTAGGCAGTTCCTAAAATGGTCCTCAATGATTTTCACTTCCTGGTATTCACAATCTTCTTCCGTGGAGTATAAGCTAGACTTTGATTTGTCTTTAATGGCTGTGCTTTTACTGACGAGATGTCACTTTTGAGATTAGCTTATAAAATGCTCACAGCTTCTGTGGGGGGCACCCTCTGGTACTCTCTTGCTCCACAGGCTCTCATTGGTTGTCATGGCATGAATACACTTGGGAAGCCTCTGGTGAAACCCATGTGGGAAGGATTTGATTCCTACAAACAGTCACATGAGCACGCTTAGAAGTGCAGCTTCTGAGGCTACCAGCAGTGATGCAAGTGAACTTGGACATAAATTTGTCCTCCACCTCATTTGAGCCTTGCGATGATGGCAGCCATGACCGACAGTCCCACAGACACCTCATGAGACCCTGAAACAGAGGCATCCTGCTAAGCAGAGGCCAATCGCCTCACCCCTAGAAACTGGCCTTAAGTTGATAAGCATTGGAGTAGTTTGTTACACAATAAAAGATAACTGGTACAACT